TTTTACTGCTACTCACTCTGATTTGCTTCAGTGCTGCCTGCACTTGCTGTTTTCACCCCTTTACCCAGAATTCCTCCTGACTCTGCTCCTTTCTACGTACAATTTGTTTTTCTTAAGCATATATTCTCCCTGAGAAGAGCCTATCACTTTAAAGCGGCAACTTGTCACTTCATTTCCAAACTTATCTCCACACCCTACCCACAGCAAAAAAGAAAGGTGGTAGAAGACAGATCTCCCTGAAACATGTCTTTCCTGCAATATGTCCACCTCTATTGATATCCCCTGCTTTGTCGTTGATTGCTCACTCCTTCCGCTTACTGAAAGAGAATTAGCAGAACAAAAAGCAAGGAATAAAAATAACCTGAGACAGTGAGAAGATATGCAAGAGGCTTTGATTTTCCACACCCATCTGACTAAGGAATAATGAGGAATAGAGGGTCTGGAGAGTAAGAGCAAGGCTAAACATCAATTAGAGTAAAAATAAATTCAGAACATAGGGAAAAACATAGCAACAGCAGAAGGAAAAGGCCTAATGGATTGAAAGGACAGCTAAAGACAACAATGAAGGAAAGAAACTTATAGAGATCATGTGGCAGACATTACAATATAGCCAGCAATATTTTTCTTTTAAGAATTACTCACAAAGAACATTCATATAAGGCATGATTAGAGAATATAATGCAAGAGTGAAAACAGGCAGGCATGTGAAGGTTAAGTGGGGTTTTCTGGATTATTGTACTGTGCAAAGGTACACATATCCCATGATTTTCACTGGCTACAGCTGGCACATCCGCAGTGCAGTACAGAGCCAGAGATTAGCTAAGCTTGGTCATAAGGGCATCCTTGCTGCCTCAGTACAACATATTACCTCAGGAAGCACCCTGGTAGAATTATACTCCTTCCTGGCCCACAGCAGCACAGATTACTGCACCACAGCCCTTCACACAGGTATCAAGCCCTCACTGAAAGGTAGTTCCAGGGGTTTCTGAATCATTCCCTGCAATCCCAGACAAACATGAACAACATATTATATATCTGTAATGCATATAAAAAGGCAACACTGCTTTTAAATTACCTGCTCTGGAAGGGATTCTGATCAGTCCCACACGGACTGAAGAGTTATGCTAATGATTCACATGCACTCAGCTGTGCTCTTAGAAAGCACTGCTTGTCTTAATTCCCCTTTCCAAATTAATTTTAGTGTATGAAATACATACCATCTTCATGTGTGCAAGAATAATAGAAGATATTACTATTTTTCTTGGCTACCTAAGCTTTCCAAAAGTCAGTTTCTTTTTATAACTTGATTTCTATTTGAATGTCACACTTAAGTTAAAATTAATTTCGAGGCCAATGTCATTCTTTGGAAGAAAATTGAACAGTTAACACTTAACCATTTTTGAGGAACAAACCTGCTTTAAACTCACTGTTTCTTTTATTCCTCAGGGAGTTTAACTACCCTTGACCATAGCAGGCTAATTGGTCAGCTGGAAGAGAGGCGAGATTTTAATCATTAGAATTCTGTCAAAATCTGAAAGGATACAATTTTTTTTTCAAATGTTGAAACATTTGAAATCAAATCCACAAAAGTACCAAAAGCAACAGTATATACAAGCTGAAATCTTTAAGTGTTTACAAAAGAAATATAATATACACCACCTTAATTGAAGGAAGATTCCTCAGTGTAAGAAACTGCTCATCAGAATGTTTCAACACGAGGGTTAGGTGAATTCTCCTTAACATTCATACATTTTTAGAAGTAAATTTACTTTGATCACACATTTGCATTCACTTGCCATGAACCCTGGAGTAGCCAAATTTTAGTGACAAAATAGCTTCAGAGGAAAACAGAGAGTTTAGAATTGCATGTGCCAGGGTTCAAAGGAAACTAAGTTTAAATTCACCTACATAATGCCCATGAAATTCTGGAACTGCAATACAGAAATCATAATAGATGGCTTACCTCAGCAACTTATCTGAATGAACACAGCTCTAAATCTAGAGTGCTTGCCTTAAGTTCATAGTGTAAAAGATACTCTTTCAACAAATTTGAACAACTTTTAAGGATGATCAGGTTACAAATGAACTGAAAAAGCAGCAAAATATCTTTAATCAACAACTCAGTGTAAGCTATTTCAGTCTTCCTAGGCATTAACATACCACTGTGATAAGGGCTCAACAACTAACAAACGAGAGAGAAGCTCTGAACCGATGGAATAATCTTTAGGAATAAGAGAATATCTCAATCTACATAGGCTTTTGGTCTTCAACTCTTTGCAGAGATTGCCAGCAACTGTGCAAATTAGTAGGTAAAATTTTGTACCAGTCAAGCTGATAGAGTGTGCATATATGTGTCCTACATATGCTGAACTAACAGACTCAAGCTGCATGTCCTTTTACAAGTAGAGGCCCCAGTTGCCACAAATTCCCTACAAATTAATAGTTGGATGTTCTGTTTAGATTCCTGTTAAGCCTAAAGCCTTCAGAACAGTTTTGCCTAATATGAGAAATGACAGAAAGTAACCAAGTATTGCCTCTAAGACAAAAGCAGCCCCCTGCTTTCAGGGTATCAAACATACAAGCAGTAAAAGCCTACAGGATATGAGCTCTAAATACTACTATAAGAAAATGAGATTCTCCTTGAGCTGAAGGGAAATAGCCTGCATTTTTCAAAGTGAAGGTCTTGAGGTCTGTCCCCTATGTTGCATATATTTGATTCCACTGATACTGGATGCTGAACTGCTTGCAGCTGTTTTTTTCATATGAATCTAAGATGTTTCAAAGTGAGATAATACTCTAGTATTATGAATGACTAACTTGCAAGTGTTACACTGTATTATATCACAAGGAACATGAGATCTACTAGACTATACACTAAAAACTTTCATCTTATTAGAGCTAAGGGATAACCTTGAGTAACCAGTGTTTTCTAGAGCAGAAAAATACAGCTTCTTTCTTAGCTTAAGACCAAATCCTTCAGCAGCTGCCCTACACTGTAACAAACATCCTCCACCGCTACCTGGATAAAAGTCTGTTTCAGTACTGATTGATACGTAGGAAGCACTGGACTGAAACCCCAGCTTGTTTGGCTTAGGCCAGTGAACACACCTCTCATTATTAATGTTTCCAGTAACCACTCAACTGAGCTGAAGTGAAACAAGCAACCAGAGGTGACCAATTCCTCATCCCAAGAGCAATCCTTCTTGTCAGGATAATCAATCTGCGAGTAGTGACATGAAGAACTAAGCATCCAACTCCACCATTCTCTCTCCGTACTTAATAGCACTGGCACTTGTAGGATCCTTTTCTAAACTCACTGAACTGACAGAGAAACAACCTGGCAAAAACAGAAAGGTTTTGTTTTTCAAGACACTGAGCAAAGTCAGCTCAGCAAAGAGCCCAGTTAGCCCCAGAGCTACTGCACAGGAAGGAACAGTATGACCCAGTCAGGAGCAGGAGTAGGAGCTGCTCCCCTTCAGTAATGGTAAGCCATGAAGTCAGCTTAGCATCACAGCTAACCGCCCCTCACACTGGGACTGCAAACTTGGCTTCAGCAGCTCCCACCTCCTTATGCTAGCAAAACATCTCACACAATCACTTCTCGGCCATGCTTTCTCCCCGCTCTTAGTGGGGCCATAGGATTGTGTCATCATCTCTTAGCCATTATATGAAAGGGCTGTAGCAGAGTCAAAGGCCCATCAATGTCCTACTCAGCTATTCCAGGAAGAAAAAGCAAGGCTTGGATTTCCTTACAGCTTCAGCCTGGCCTAAACGAATGCTGCTACAGAAAAGGGCTGCCCTGGGTCCGTCCTCCTCCATCTTCAGTGCAGCCTTGAACCCACACTAGCACTCAGGCAGATTACGGAACTTATTCGGCTGAAAACTTTCACCATTTTAATTTATTTTTCAGGTTAATTTTCAGCCCGATCATGTGGCTCTACAGAGCTGAGCACTGGCACAAAGCAGAACAAGAAAACACTTGGCTCAAACAAGGTGGGGTCTCCTTCCTATACAGCAGCTCAGTGCTTAGGCTAGCTTACTTAAAGTCATTATGAAGACTTATTTCCTGCCTTGATCAACCATGGAACTGAGGCCTCAAGTTCTTCCTTATGCCCCCAGGCCACAGCACAAAGTTACAAGCCTTTGCAGAAGCATAAGGCACCTTTGCTCAGGCGCACAGCTTAAACTGCAACCTAGCCCTCTGTTTCCAAAACTAGCTGTTTTGTTGTTCAGAACTAAGAAAGGAGGGTTTCTCTGTACGTTGGCCTGAAAAATCGAGATGACAACACTGTGAAATACTCTATTAAGCCGACAGCCTTTCTCATGTATATTTTGGCTTGTTAGACAGTTCTGTGCTTGGTATTTGTAAACAAAAACAAAAGTGACATAAATAAAGGATTTTCTCTCTTTTTTCGTGGCTTAACAACCTGGAACCATTTCATATTAACAGCTCCAGAAAGTTACTGTTTCTATGAGCCCGAAAATCTACAGGAAGTTGGTAGAATGTAGAGTCATGAGCCTAAGCCAAAGCTCGAAGCTATGAAGTACTTTACCAGCTTCCTGAGCTAAGGCACAGCATACCAAAGGACGGAAGGAAGGAGCCTGGAAAACCTGCCAGTATTTTTGTGTTCTTTTGATAGAACATTGGTATTGAAAAAGGATTTATGGAAAATAATAGAAAACTTCAGAAGAAAAATCAAAGTGAAGTGAAATGGCATATTTAAAAACTTAAAAGCTTAAAAATTTCCCAGGCAACCACACTTACTACACAGTTTCAAAAAGTATCAGACAAATCAAAAATAATTAATTATTAAGCAATTAATGATTAAAAACCCTTTAAAAAATATCCCAAATAACACACACTATCCTGAAAAAAACTTATAAGTTTTAGGAATGCTAATCAAAAAAAGACTCTAAGCTCTTGAAGTTATGTTTCCTTACAAAAAGCAAGGCTTTTCAAAATAACAAAATGGTTTTAATCCAACATTAGAAATACTTACAACAACTCCACTCTTGGTGACAGTTTCCCGGTACGTAAAATTGCACACTGCCCAAGCTAGGTAATATGTGGACATGAGAGGGGTCTGTGAAAAGTGGTCTGTAACCCATCCATCTTCCTCAAAAACAGAAGTTTCAACTGGCATGTTGGACAAAGATAGGTAGGTTGCTTGATGCCTGATGCTGATTTTGAAAGTGGCCTTGTAGATAGGCTCATCAAAGCACGGAAAGGCTTTTCTGGCATGAGTTGGAGAAAATTGTGTAACACCAAGGAACCTGGAAGAGAAGTAAACAAAAAAAAAAAGCAAAAAGCATTACTAATTGCATGCAGCAGTTGGTTCATGGACATACCAAGCAAGCCAATGTTTGACTGTTTTGGATTACGAAAAAGAAAATGCTAAACGCTGCAATCTATAACACTATTTTATCACTGTGGTTCTTCTTGGTGTGAATTCTTACTGCCTGTACTGTAAGACAATCAACACAAAGCCTACAAATTCACAACAAATTTGCAGACACCGCACTGATGTTAAATAAATAATCCCTTGCCTTGTATCAAAATTCAGGTTCTACCAGTAGAGTTTTGTTTATCAATTTGTGAAAAAAGTTAGCCAATATTAGGAATACAATGTAAAACAAATAAGCACAGTCTCCAGTTAAAATCAGGATTTAATGACTTGAAGGGAGTTCACTCTTCCCTGAGACACTGACAGCACACTTTGCCCTTCCTTGGACATTAGAACTTATCTTCATAGAGCGTACTCAAGAGGGTCATTATTTTCCACTCCTGATTATTTGCGTATTGGTTGCATGTAGGTATCTGAGTCTACACTACAGCGCTATTGTTACTATAGAAGTCCAATGAAAAACATTCTGCAGGCTTTGCAAAATTACAAATATAAGCTACTGATTAAACATCTACAGAGCAGTTTCTTTTTTCTATGCATGTTTTTCTTTTCTAATGAATTTTATGGAGGACAAATCAATGCTCTCAGTCAATTGGGTCAAATTACGAAAAGATTTCTGAGGGGGAAAAAGGCATTTATTATGTCATTATATAGAATGGGAAGCTCTTATTTTGGCAATTTTTATTGTGTAACTGTTTTCTTTGGAACTAAATAGATGTTAATCAAGATAAAGTAAATGGACCTTTGTAGGTAAAGGCTTATATTTACACATTTGGAGAAAGCCCATGTGTGACAAGCTCTTCACAGGAAAAAGTTACACATAAAAGGCAGAATTGCAGGATAGATGGGAATATTTTCTGGAAGAAAGCAACTATGATCCAACAACATAACTGGAAAAGTAGCACGTATGAAGGTTGTTTGAGTAGTTTGAGTAGTGCTGATTCACATCTCATTTGTCAAGGTTCCATCAGTGGTAATACCCAAATAATTTCAGATACCAGGTAAGCATTTGTCAGAATTTTAGAGGTTGACTAATCATCTCTTTTTCTTTTGGGGGAAGAGGAGGGATAGCTATATTTGATATAATGAAAATAATGGCATCCATTGTAAATCCCTCTGTAAATGTTATTCTGCAATATGATAGGAATGAATGTGAAGGGGGGGGGGGGAAAAAGAAAAAAAAAAAAAAAGGTAACCTATAAGGAAAACAAAATATCTGTCTAACTTTTTCTAAAACTTGTTTGGATTTTATGGATATTTTATTGCAATATTTTATAAAAGCAATGAAGAAATAAACATCTGGAAATGTTACAATACTTTTGTCTTACTAGAAATGTTTCCTAGTGAAATGATCACGTTTCATAAGGCTAATCTTTTAAAAACTTGGAAATTTTTACACTGCTGCAGCTTTTACCATTGGTCTTTCATCCAAAAAAAAAAAAAACTTTAATTGGCTAGTAATTGTTTAAGAAATTCAGTATATTGCGTTTTTCCTGTCTCATCATAAAACATGGATTAGTAAAATCACAAGGTTGCTAAATACACAGGAAAATGTTGCTCTCAGATATTCCAGCATTAGCCCATCAAAATTCCATTATTAGCAGTGGATTTGCACTACTGCAACAAAGCTGAATTGGCCTATTAAATGGAGCAAGGCATCTTAATTTATATGCTAAGTATTACTAGTGGGCCTGATTCTGCATTCTGAGCACACTCAAAATAGCATCAGACATCAGTAGCTACAGACATCAACAGGGACTTCAAGCAAGCATGGAAAACGGTACTGGCCTGTTATTAATAAAGCAAGAACGATGAACTTGCCTCTGCAATTAGCAATTTTAATAAGCTCAAATACACATGTAAATATGCACTTAGGGAATACTGTATATGTCCTGACAATCTAAATAAGGAAGCATTGTTTTTCACTTCTTGGAGGTCCTATCAGTGTTCTTTTAATATTTGTTGTGTGTTAGGCAATCGAAACAATCTCTTCACTAGACTAATAAAAATTGACAAACTTTGCATCTTCTGTATACACACAGACAGATGTATACACCCGCGTAGACGTAACAACTGGGCTAACACTAGGCAGTCAATATTTCATACTAAAAATACATCAAACTACCAGTAACAGTAATATTTATAACCTGTGTCTTACTATCAAATATGAATTTGCTTGTTGTACTATAAAGAAAAAAAAAGTTAAAATGTGCTTCCCAAACACTAGACTGTTATGCATGTTGGGGCGGGGGGGAGAGTGTATGTTTATCTATTTCTTTCTGTTTTAGGGGAAAAAAAACAAGCACAATTTCTATACCATGCCAAAACTAAAGAGCAGGCTGAGTATTTCATCCATCTCTCCACATCTCTCTCTGGGCACTGACATTTTTATCTCCATTTCCCAAAAATATCACCGTAAGAAGTTGTACTTCTGGGAATGACAGCCTTGCAGCCTGTCTTTTCAGCATACCCACGGCAGTAATTTGCAGGTACTTTAATTCCATCTCATCTATTAAAGGGAGACATGTGTTTCCTCAACAACTTGTCTATTTTGACATCTTAGTTGTTAAGATGGAAAAATCTGTCTGTTTGTTTTGCCTGAATGATGTAAGAAATTTTTGTTCTTTTCATTTATGCCAAAGTTTGATGATCATTTAAATTATGTATGGATACTATGGCACTCTACAAAAGCTCTCTATTAAATGCTGTTGGTAATTGCCAGTAAATTTCGGCATGTGACACAAAATAAGTTTGCAGCATATCACTTGCATTTTACCTTTCAATTAAAAGTGCAAAGATTTCTGTACGAAAATAAATACTTTCATGTCACTAGGAACATTTCAGATTGATACACGGCTTTCACCTATGAAGAACACAGAAAATGGATGAACATTTCAGCTTATGAAAAAAATTATAAGCTGAAAGCATTATGTTTGTGAAGCCTCACTGTTAACCAGAGTTATGCACTTCTCATGTACAACAGAAGTGAAAAATGATGTTTAAGATAATTTTATAGCAACCACTACTACAGTGATGTAGCTAGATTTCAATCAAATACAAAGATGTTGAAAAGCTAAAGTACAGTTGTACTGGAACATCAAGGTCCCTGAGAGCATGAGAGAAGCCATTCTGTCTATCATACTAGAAACTGTCCGTGTTTAACAACTGCAAATGGTTACCCACGTTATATACGGATTATTAATCAAAATGCAAATTGCCACATTGCAGGAACACACTCTGAATAAAGAAGTTCCATGGTTTAGAATGCGTATTACTTATTTTATACTACAGTCAATCACCAAACCTGTGACAGTTCAAAAGAAAAAGCAGTACTTCTTTTAAACACCTGAAACTATATTCACACACTGGCTAGTTTTAAAAATAGCATTTTACTGAAAGGAATGTAAGTGAACTAAACCCTTGGCTGGTGTAAAGAGGAAATTCCACTGATTTCAATATAGCAATGCTACCTTATATTCGGTAAGGATCTCACCCAATATAAATATAGTTAAGTAGCATATTAGAAACAGAAAGTGAGCTGTAGCTGAAAAGTTATACAAGAAGTCCTGGGTAACACATTTTACTATTGCCTCCCACCCTGTGTCTTAAGCTATCTTGATGTTTCTAAAAGTGAATGGACCGTAAACTTTCTATCGTAGCTGAGGCATCAGTATTGTAGTGCAGTACAGCAACTTTGGAGAAATGTCACTGCAACACCTGAGTTTAATTATTACTATATAAAGTTCAAATTGACAAGAATGATAACTGCTTGAATAATTGTTTGTTGTTTTTGTAGAGTGAATTACATCCCCAGTATTATCAATACTTTATCTTCTTAGAGACCTGTATGAAAATGGACAGATCAGAACTCTTGATTACCTCTGTCATTCAGTCCTCAATGACATATTCAAAACCTCCACTTTATTTCACTATGATGATAAATCATACAAATTTAATTTTAATCCTGCTTATGATTCTAACATCAATCTGTTTAGAGCGTACAGTAACCATAGCAACAAAAGCATCTTTTAACATGAGGACTGTTGATTTAATTGAGTCGGGGAGTGTTCTTTTTCTGCCTGACTTGCTTCTTTTGGCTTATTCTTCCAACTACAAACTCTTAGCCTCATAGGAAGCACAGAATAGTAAGACTGAGAAAGACAGAACCTGTAACCACATGGATGTTTCAAGAAAGGACAGCTTAAACTAAAATAATAAGCAACAACAGAACCGTGAAGAAGCCGTCCCATCTCTCCTTCTGTATTACAGAGCCTGAATGTGGTTAAAGGAGAAAACTTTTTTGTTGATTTAATGTACCTCTGTAACTTGCCTACCACAGCAGGGACCTCGATCACGACCCATGAGCTACAGGAATGAATAAAGATCAACTCCTGTTCTGCGTGAGAACAGTGAAAATCGAGCCGGTTCGCTCCATCACAGAGCGCAAATATGCGGCGGCGATTCCACTGCAGCAAGCGGAATATACCTACTTGCTTGGTGTGAAATCACATCACGGTACTTTTTTTTTTTTTTTTTGAATACGCAGGTAGTAACAATAGCATAAAAGTTCCACTGTGTTAAACACTATTAATTTTAACCTCGCGAGGCTGTGTTACACAACGACATATCGCAGCTGGGCACAGGAGCGTTCATTAAACACGACCGGCGGCGAGGGAAGGGGGCGGCTTTAACCCGGACGCAGCTGGCGGGATGTTTCACCTCGGCAGCAGCTGGAAAGTTGACGCCGCAGCACAGCCCGCGCCGCGCACAGGCCCTTCCTCCCACGCTTGGGCCCGGTCC